TTTCCTGCCACTTCAAGCTTGGAATTCATCGCTTGCTTCTCCAATTTGGGCCCAATGAATGAAGGTCGCCAGCCCAAAGCACCATGGGTCGGGTCCACCCTGTCCTGGTTTGCACCAAAAATTCAAAACGCCGGGCCGACACCGCGAAAACCAAAAAATATAGCGCTCCAAACATAAATAAAGGCAAAAAAAAAGAAAAAAAAATCAAGAGGCCCAACTTTTCCCCCTGTTTTCCTCCTTCCGCTCCCCCCCAGCGCCACTGCTACTGGAACGGCTCTGCAATCGCGCACCCTCCTCCATTAGCTTCTTCCTCATTCGAAAAATCTCGCCTAAAACCCTAGGCGACGACCGGACCCCCGAACCCCCCGGCCATCGGAGCTCCTCCTCGCTCGAGCTGCAGCTTCCCCATGGAGTGGAATCAGGAGACGCTCCAGTTCCTCTCCCAGTGCTTCCTCCACACCCTCTCCCCCTCCCCCGCCCCTCGCCGCCAGGCCGAGTCCTCCCTCGCCGACGCCGCCGACCGCCCCAGCTACGCCCTCGCCGTCCTCCGCCTCGTCGCCGAGCCCTCCGTCGACGAGCAGATCCGCCAGGCCGCCGCCGTCAACTTCAAGAACCACCTCCGCGCCCGCTGGGCCTCCTCGCCTACCCCCAACGACGCCGCCGCCGCCGCCGACGCCGCCCCGGCCGCCGCCTCGGCCCCGATCCCCGACGCCGAGAAGGAGCAAATCAAGGCCCTCATTGTCCCCCTGATGCTGTCCTCGTCGGCCCGTATCCAGAGCCAGCTCAGCGAAGCCCTAGCCGTGATCAGCAAGCACGATTTCCCCAAGCTGTGGCCCGCCCTGCTCCCCGATCTCGTGTCCAATCTCCAGAAGGCGTCGCGGGCCTCCGACTACGCCTCCATCAACGGGATTCTCGGTACGGCGAATTCTATTTTCGAGAAGTTCCTTTACCAGTACAAGACCAACGATTTGTTGCTTGATTTGAAGTATTGCTTGGATAATTTCGCTGCCCCTCTGTTGGAGATATTCCTGAGGACTGCTAAGCTAATCGACGAGACCTCGTCTTCTGGTCAAGCTGTGAACTTGCGACCTTTGTTCGAGTCTCAGAGATTGTGCTGCCGGATTTTCTACTCTCTTAATGTGCAAGAGCTGCCGGAATTCTTTGAGGATCATATGGCTGAGTGGATGGGTGAGTTCCAAAAGTACCTTACTACTAGATATCCTGCACTCGAGGGCAGTGGCCCTGACGGGCTTGCGCATGTGGACGAGCTTAGGGCTGCCGTGTGTGAGAATATTAGTCTTTATATGGAGAAGAATGAGGATGAGTTCAAAGGTTATTTGGATAAGTTTGCATCTGCGGTTTGGAGTTTACTTGGGGACGTGACTCAGTCCTCTAGTCGTGATAGGTTGGCCATTACGGCGATTAAATTTTTGACGACTGTCAGCACGAGTGTGCACCATAAGCTGTTTGAAGGTGAGGGCGTAATTCAGCAGATTTGTCAGAGCATTGTGATCCCCAATGTGCGTCTGAGGGAGGAAGACGAGGAATTGTTTGAGATGAATTATGTCGAGTTCATTAGGAGGGACATGGAAGGTAGCGATCTTGATACTAGGAGAAGGATTGCATGCGAACTTCTCAAAGGTATTGCTACATATCATAAGGCAGAGGTTACTGCCATTGTGTCTGCTCAGATACAGAACCTGCTGACGTCATTTGCTGCAAACCCAGCCGCCAACTGGAAGGACAAAGATTGTGCCATATACTTGGTTGTTTCACTGGCGACAAAGAAGGCTGGGGGTAATGCTGTTTCTACTGATGTCATTAACATTGAGAGCTTCTTCACGTCTGTTATAGTTCCAGAGTTGCAGCGTCAGAATGTGAACGAGTTTCCCATGCTAAAGGCTGGTGCTCTTAAGTTCTTCACATTGTTTCGGAGTCAGATAGCTAAGGGCATTACGTTGCAGTTGTTTCCTGATTTGGTTAGGTTTCTTAGTTCGGAGTCCAATGTAGTTCACTCTTATGCTGCGAGTTGCATTGAAAAGCTTTTGCTTGTTAAGGATGAGGGTGGGAAAGCAAGATACACCTCTGCAGATATCAGCCCCTTTCTTATGGTGATTATGAACAACCTTTTCACGGCTTTGCGGTTTCCTGAATCTGAGGAGAACCCGTACATTATGAAATGTATCATGCGAGTCCTTGGGGTTGCCGAAATCTCCCAAGGGATCGCTGCACCTTGTATTGCTGGGTTGACCTCCATTCTGAATGAAGTTTGTAAAAACCCAAAAGATCCAGTTTTTAACCATTATTTATTTGAGTCAGTGGCTGTTCTTGTCAGGAGGGCTTGTGAGAAGGATGCCTCTTTAATATCATCTTTTGAAGGAAGTCTCTTTCCCAGCCTCCAGACGATATTGGCCAATGATGTCACTGAGTTCTTCCCCTATGCATTTCAGCTGTTGGCTCAGCTTGTTGAATTGAACAGACCACCCATTCCAGCTAATTACATGCCGATATTTGAGATTCTATTGTCGCCTGATTTGTGGAATAGAGGTCCAAATGTCCCTGCGCTCGTGCGTCTTCTTCAGGCATTTCTTCAAAAATCACCGCATGAACTCAGTCAGGGAGGTAGGCTAAGCCAGGTGCTTGGCATATTCAACAAACTAATCCTGTCCACAAGCACGGAGGAACAGGGTTTCTTTGTCCTCAACACTGTTATTGAGAATCTAGATTATACTTTGATTGCGCCCTACATCCCCCACATCTGGCATGCCTTGTTTACACGTCTCCAGAATAGACGGACTATCAAGTTTGTGAAGTCTCTTTTGATATTTATGTCGCTGTTTCTGGTCAAGCATGGTCCCCCTAACCTTGTTGACTCAATGAATGCTGTTCAGCCCAACATTTTTGTCACGATTTTGGAGCAGATTTGGATACCAAATCTGAAGTTAATTGCCGGGAATGTTGAACGTAAGTTAACTGCGGTTGCTTCAACGAGGCTGCTCTGTGAAAGTCCACTTCTTTTAGATGCAGCAGCTAGTAGACACTGGGGAAAGATGCTTGACAGCATTATGACCTTGCTTTCACGCCCTGAGGAGGATACGCTTGCGGAAGAGCCAGATGCTCCCGATGTAGCTGAAAATGTGGGTTATACTGCCACTTTTGTTAATCTCCGCCATGCTGGAAGGAAGGAAGAGGACCCTCTGAAGGATATAAGGGAACCAAGAGAATTTGTGGTGACTTCTCTGGCAAGACTGTCTGCCCTGTCTCCTGGGAAGTATCCTCAGATCATCAGTGAGAATCTTGATCCAGCAAACCAGAATGCATTACTTCAGCTCTGCAGCACTTATAACTGCCCTATTGTTTGAGAAGGTACTAAACAGACTTTGCAAGTCTGTGTCTCTACTATTTCTTTCTTTTCACTATGCAAGATCTATGTCTGTGTTTTTCCATTGGGAGTATGTCTTGCAACTCACGGAACATCAATGCATTAGAATTGACAACTGATTATTCAGATTAAAATGGACTTAGCGTGTATGTATTTTTGAAGACCTTATGTTGTAATAACTTTTTGGAGCATATTTCATCGTTCATTTTTAGCAATAAGTTGGAAAATGCATGGCCATTTCCGGAGTTGCTTTGGGGGTATAAGTTGGATTACTGTTATTTTGTACACTTTCATATCCTGCTTTCAGCCCTCACTTCCTTTATCAAGCAGACGAGATAAAGTGACCCAACTAGTCATTTTTTAAATTATGGAATAGTTTGGTGATGAGATTTTTCTATTACACACTTTTATATAGTTTCCCTCACATACCCTACATGGTGTGATGTCTAATAACACATCTAAGTAAACTTTATCGAGTTTAGGTAAGCATGTATATATCATCTGTACTTCTGTAGTCCCCTTGAAAGGTCACTGTGTATATGTCCCTCGCCTCTAGATGATGGTGGTGCTTTAAGTCGGATGCATGGATGAGCTACTTACTGATTTGTGGCTTGGTGCCATTTCAAAAGCTTATTTAAGGACATTGTATCTGTGTATTCAGGAGTTTCTTCTTTTAATTATTTAATATTTATGTTGGTCGTGGGAGACAATGTGCATGTCAATAGGGGACTCTTCTTGATGCTTGTGTTTAATATTTGTTTGTCTTTGCAGTTGTCACTGTTAATTTAATGTCTTTGATAACTGATGTAACTTGTTGACCTGATAGTCATGTGATGCCATCTGATCGATGAGTTTTATAGGAAAAACCTTGGTAGTTAAACCTTAAAATACCAGTTACTGATCCTGCTTGTTCCAGAGTTATTTAATATAGAGTCCAGACTCTTTGCAGTTGCCGAATAATAACACCACACATATTGTTGATCCTTTGTGATGTGAAAGATAGTCACGGGTCTTCTCATTATCAGTATCTTTTGCAGATATGAGGGCTCATTTGGTGGTTCTTTTTGCAAGTTGCATGCTGCTTAAAGGTTGTGAGCAAATGGAACTTCGACTTCCAAGTGGTGCAGTTATCTGGTCTGGGGACTGGGTTTCACGAAGTGTTTTACATGATAATTGCATAGAAGCTTTACACAGTTTTTGAGTCCTACGGCTCTTTGGTCGTCGTCTTTTGAAATTTTTTGATTTCAGGTTGTATAAATCTTGATTTTGTTGTTAATTATCCCCGAGTCTTGCTTAAAAATGCGGCGGTAACTGTAATCTTGTTCATCTGTCCCCAAGTCTTGCTTAAAAAATGTGGCTGTGACTTCGATCCTGGTCAAGATCTTTAGTTGAATCGAAAACTATTTGCCCCCTTTTTTTGTTGGTTCTTTCGTTTCTTTTATATCTTCAATTTGCTAAAAGATGGTCACTTCTTTGTGTGGTTGGTCATCTTGTCAATTACAAAGCCAGTATCTTTCTGAGTGAAGCTTGATCAACCTATCGTCTCTTCAGATGGGCTACTTGGCCCGTGGAGTTGTGGCAGAAGACTTCTTTTGCCCCCCCTCATGACCTCAAACTGTATTCAATAATAAATCTAGGAGCTGGTCATATGAGTACAGGCCTATATATACAGCTACAACACAATTGCGCACGGGGAAAACTACATTGATTTGAGAAACTACTAATGACCTGAAAAATTTACACACATTGGCAAAATTATTCCATGGCAACCGATCGTGCTCATGTATGCAACGCTCCTTCAGAAAGCAGCAGTGAAGGCTTGGCTTTGCGCAACTACGTACATTGTCTAAAAAGGAGGCAATAACCAGCCAATGGTCCATCCCACGAGCAAACCAGCACCCACAAGGCTCAAACCTAAGGCCATGGCGAACGCATACTTAGTAATGTCTAGCCACAGCGGTCCTCGTTCTCCCTGTCTAGTATTGGCATTCTTAAGCGGTTTCGTCCGCGCTATTATACCTTTACCAGGCATCCAAGGATGGATGGCAGGGACAGGTGTGGCAACTGGCTGATCAGTGTTCTCAGCTTGCAAGTATAACGCATTTAGTTGCCATTGATGAAACCAGTGCTTGTAGGCAAAGAATTGAGAAGCTTGTCTGAAGAGGAGCTCGATGATGTGCTCCTTCTCTTCATGAGCTCGCTTTGCTGCCTTCTCTGCTTCTCTGGCTCGTGTTTGAGAATGCCGGAGTGCTTCCAAAAGCTGAGACTTGCAAGGATCACCATCAGGAACTTCATATGCTTCCTTAATATCCTCGGGGCCACCAATGTAAGTATTTCTGCTGCAAATTTCCAAAGTACAATGAAGCACTTAATTTGGAGCAGAAAACTATTAACCATCCTATATAGTATAGCATCACGTTGCATTTTCAATCGTTATTTCAGAACTTGTGCTACACCGAACCCGAACCATCTAAAAAACGGCTATGGTGATCATTACATTGCAAAGGTGCTTTCCTCCCTATCTATTTCAAGGACTAGAGCTAACAAGAAGTGGATATTACCTATTTAAGCAGTGTACTTTCTTTGAAGAAGAAGCTACCCTATCTAGCAACAAAAGACGATGGCAATAGCTCAAGTATACCAACAAGTACCTGCGCAACTCGCCAGGCATATATTCTCCCAATGAAGCCACACATGTTCCAACCGTTTCATCAGGTTCAGAATCATGTGACCAAACAGGTGGTCTTGAAAGAACCCTTGACTGCGGTTTCAAGTGAGAAGGATTATCTTGATCGAAGCATCGGATTTTTGAGCAGGCGTGTCGCTTAACATGAAGTTTCTGAGGCGGGGGAAGATCACAATTCTCAATACAGTCAAGCGACTTCGTAGCAACCAAGGAGGCAACTTCAGTCTTATCCATCGCACGCCACCATGGGTCAATCTTTGCATTACTAATCCATGGAGAATCCGGCTCAAAACCAAGTTCAGTAAGTTGCTTGGACACTGATGAGCCAAAATCATCTATTTGCATGCAGGCATAGCTGCCTCCCATACCGATATCCTTGATATCTTTGGCCCCCTCACTATCTTTGGCTTCCAACTCTTGCTCTCTACCATCAAAATTCTTTCCGTCTTCTTCATCCTGCAAGACCATCTTATGTGACTCAGAATATAAATTTCCCAAGCCTGTTTTCAAACTTTCCATCTCAACATCAAGGAGATCTATTTTTTCACTCATTAAAACCTTTTGGAACCCATGGATTGGCTGGAGATGAAGCCACCATCTTGTGTCATCGTGAAGATCAGAAAACAAAGGCTTCCCATTGGCAGGCAGGAAGCCTATATCTGGATGGTCACCCTCATGGGCTGTGGTGGTTGGTCCAGCATCTACCTGTTTAGATGTCAATGATGATGATTGGCAGCAAGCTAATTTGGGGGCTCTTTTTGCATCCTCCTGTACAAAATAACGGTTTATTGTTCTCTGCCATACAGCTCTGGCTTCAGCTGCTGCCATCACTCTCTGAGCCTTTCAGACATTCACTGTGTCCAGAGAGAAGAGCAAGTCATTCCTCTTTTTTCTTGACAGCATGTGAACCAATCACAAGTTTATGATTCATAAGACATGACATCGGACAACATCTTTATACATGAGACAAGATAAACAAATAAATAAAAGGCAAACACACCAGTTGCACTAATATCAGCAGATATTTTTTCAACCATTCCTGAAATTCTAATAAAACGCATCAACTATGTTGAAACGCCAAATGACCTTTTAGAGAGAAAGGAGAGGAATAAGTTTAGAAACAAATAGAGGTATAAGGCAGGTACAAGAAATGGCTACTAATTCTAGATATCTTTTTTATGTCCTGAGTTTTGCAATCTTAACAACTTTCCACAGCTTCTAAAATTCACCGTACCTCATTAATTGTCGTAAAAGAAATATCTACCTACATAACTCCCTAAATGCCCTTTAAGTAGTCGAACAATAATCTATGGCGAGTATTATCGTGTTCTCAAGCTTCTGACCAACATTCTGTAACCAATCATACCTCACTCGCACATGTTCTCTGCCCAAGTGTTTTTTTGTTCTGCATTTACAAACCCATACACAGTATGCTGACATGGTGTCGCACGACCAACTATACTCATTTGCTAAAATGTGATACTGAAAACAGAATACACAATCAAATATGCGATCCATCTGAATTTGTCGCGTGTGCATTCGACATAAAGCTTTCTTACACTCAAGCTCCTTAGCAAAGAATGGACCCTGCTTTCATGGAACTTGGATGGACAAAAAGACCAGAGTCCCATAAGAATTCTCATTGCAATGTCTTCGTCAATGAAAATCGGTCAATTGACCTTGATTTGGTGGAACAATTGGCTGAACAAAAACGATAGTCCCATAAAAGTTCTTACTTCAATAGTCTCACAGAAAAGGATACTCACATCTCAGGCAGGCAAAAACTCAATTTCAGTATATGTCACTCTAACAAGCAGATGGCAGATGCTAGAATTGATCAAGTTTATTTGCAGGTAATATATCATTGGTAAGGTTATAGAAACATCAAGCCATTTGCATAACTAGGAAGTCTTGGTTATCAAACCCAAGCAAATTAAAAACCATGAATCGATTGTTTTGGCAATAACTTTTCCTGATGCTTATTACATATGAGTTTCTCCGCTCAATAGAGTCCCAACTCAGGCCAACTTAAATCAAATCTATTGACTATGAGGGATCAAAATCACAACAGAGCTCTCAATAAAAGCATGGGAAGTAGGAACGACTTGAAGGTTTGATGAGTCATTATAGAATGATATCATGACAGAAGGGATGAGCTTATTCGAGCCAACGCTTGCAAGATTCCTTTCCGAAAGATCAGTGGAACTCTGGAGGTCATAAGGTAAAAGAAACGTCATAATGCAGAAAAATAGACCCTTTCTGGCCTCTTCTAACAGACAGCTACCAACAAGCATGGTCTATTCAATCATGGAACCTTAACAAGCTCAATAAATGCAGTCTCGTGTCTCTTCACAGGAGGAGCTTGAATATCCTAAGAAATACAAACTTCTGCAACCAATCAAACCGGAAATAACAGCAAACATAACAATTCAGACCCAGATCATTAATCATCAGAAAGGTTTCTCTTTTAAGCAGGAGGCAGTAATTCCTGAAGCAACAAAGCAAGAAAAACACCATCACCACAACACCACCAGGATAGAGAGGAGGGAGCATTCATCAGCGAGGATGATGAAATTGGAAGTCTTCAACAAAGACGAAGCAGTTCAACAGTAAGATAACGATCCCAACATCAAAAGCAGAAGAAAAAACACGGAATTCAGATGTAATCAAGCAAGATCAGGGTGGTCAGAGAGAGTACCGGAAAATCATGCAGGTGGGCTATGCATCCACCACGGGATGGCAGCAGTCGCTACCCTTTAGCTCAAGGGTGATGAACCCATGTCGCTCGAAGCTTCTTGTACAGGGGAGAGAGAGAGAGAGAGAGAGAACCAAATCTAGCAAAAGGGAAACAAACGAGGAAAGAAAAGGAAGGAGAGAAGTGGGTTTTGTTCAGGACAGCCAATGGATTCGATGCTGCATCCTGTCGGTTTGTTCATCCGAGCAAGTTTTTTCCTCGCGAATAATATCAAGAATCGAACGACAATATCAAGAATCGAACGACGTGGGACCGGCGCTACACGACACCGTCGGTTGTTGGCTTGCGAGGGGAAAGTGGGATCAGTGACGTTGGACTTTTTGGGTCGGGCCGCGAGGACGAAAACGATGGGCGGCGGCCTGTGGTCTCTGTCCAACCAGTCACCCGCCGGATTTTCCTATGATACGGATATGCACCGCAGTAGTCGAGCGATGGCTGTACACATTTATATGTACGCAGTTGAAAGAGACCCGAAACTATTCTTTACACAAGCCGGGATGGCGGCGAGTCCCCATTGACCAACCGCCTCCAGGAAAATTGTTCAAAGAGTCATAAACTTATTGCATGTCCAAAAGGTCCTAAATTTATTACATTTTTACTAATTCAGTCTTAAACCTTTTAATTATATCAAATAAATCCACTTTCACGTTTTGCAAATTGAGTTTATGAGGCCAATTTTAGCTGGAAATAGCTGATATGATTGCCAACTGTCCTATATGGCACGGCTTTGTACTGATGTTGATAATTTTTAATAATTTTTCATTATTTTTTCGAATTTTTTAAATTTCTTTCTTTCTTTCTTTTTCTTCTTCCAAGCCCGGCGAGGGTCACTGGCTAATCCTTATTGGTCAAATGAATCCGTTGGCTAATACCTTGTCAGTCATGGCCCTCACCCAGACCTCGCGAGGGCCGCGACCCTCCTCACCCTATGGTTGGTGAGAGTCAGCTGGCCCTCGCTGGTGACCGACGAGGGTCGACCGGGGACCCTAACCGGGCTTGATAGAAAAGAAAGGAAAAAAAAAGAATAAAAAATTGTTCACGTGAGCGCCGGCCATCTCACGTGGCACTACGAGCGTTCACGTTAACGAATTCTGGTTAAAATTGGATAGATGGACTCAATTGGCAAAATTGAAAAGTTTAGAACTGAACCGGCAAAAGTGCAATAGACTTTTTGGACAATTTCTCCCCGGCATACCGCGGGCTCTTCGAGCTCGGAGTGTCGGGTCTAATTCGATGTCTTTTAGGTCCGTTCCGCGTTCCGCGTTCGCGTTCGAAAATGTACATCGGAACGGCGAGATCGAGTTGAATCCGGTCTTTCCGACGTGAGTGGTTGCCAAAAGCCTGCTCGTATGTCCTTCGGGCCATATGAATCCGAGGGAAAGAATCGGGTCAATTCTGTTGTTTTGATAGCAAAGTTTTCGAGCGTGTTAGTAAAAGTCCGAACATGGGCACACAAAGAGAACCTTACCAAAACCCCAAATCACTCGTCAAACGAGGAAACTTCGCCTCGAATGCAAAACTTGAATTCATCGATCAAATCCATACTCCAGCAAATTTGACAGGATTCCATGTCAACGGACCAGACAACGTCACGACAAAGGAGTGGCTTTGATAATCGCGTAAATCTCCTTCGTGTTTGGGTTATAAATCTGGTCATCTATCAACCATGAAAATCTCCCGACTTAAAAAAAAAAGAAGAAGAAGGAATGATGACAGTAAATTGTTCTTAAACTTTGGCTCAATGTGTAATTTCATCTCTAAATCTGGTTCCTGAACTTTAGCTCAGCGTGCAATATCGTTTCTTGAAATTTAAACTTTTGGCCCGGAACTGTATGAAAATGTTCGATGTTCGGGCACGGCGTTGAACATCGTGTTAAAGTTTAATGAGCATATTGAACAAATGTAAAGTTTGTTGACGACATTGCATGATGAGCAAAAGTTTATAAATTATTTATGTCATTTAAGAAAAAAAGCCATCAAATTCAAGTATTAAAATAACATTATATTTTTTTTTTTGGTGTTTTGTGCACAAGGCTAAAAAATTTAGCGACGGGTTAAAAAGCCCTAGGGAGGGGGGGTTTTAGGACTGGGGATGGAGAGCTCTTCCCGTCCGGCAGGTGAAGTGTAGAGGTCGACGATCTGCAAACCAGAGCTTCAGCTTCAGCTTCAGCTTCAGCTTCAGTCCATCGACATCTGCATCGACTGACTCGTAAGCCCCTCTCTCTCTCTCTCTCTCGCGTTGGTACACTCTTGTATGGAGATTCTTGATGGCCTTCAGCTTGTTCCTCTTTGTCCAATTCGTTCTTTCCCATCCTTTTCTTGGCTTGTAATCGTGGGTAGGTGCCGATGTATCGCTGCTCGAACCGTTTGCGTTGTTGGGTCGCTTTTAGAAATCGCGGGTCCATGGCGAAAATCCTCTGTCGTCTGAAATCAAAACTGGGTTTTTCAGTGCTTAGCTGCGGTGGATGCTTATCGGTTAAAATGCAAATGTGGGTGGGTACCCCTTTGACCGCTTTCGCTGTTTTTTCCCGTCGTGCTGATCCGGCGGTGTTGGCATTGGGTTTGATTCTATGGGGGCGAAACGTTTCTGATCATAAGCAGCTTATGCACACCGTGAATTCCATTGGGGGTGTGCTTCCATGAAGTATTTTTTTGGGGCTCTAAGGTGAATGTTGTCATCATCAAGAAACTAATGCGGCCCACGAAATGGATAGTCTAGGATGATTTCGCATTCTCCTCTCGTGGTGTAGGTACGTTATTGCCTTCGTATAACAATGGTGAAATAGGCGATATGCGCGTTGCAGGAAGAAAGATAGCATCGAAACAAATCAAATCCGTAGTTGAGACGTGTGTATTTCTGCTGAGAAAAAATAATAACCTGCTTCAATTGTTAAAAAATCAGATAGCATGAAAGTCGGAGCTTGAATAGTGCTGGACTGAGATTGTGGACTGCATAAACTAGCTCTTCTGATCCCTTTCGATGCTGAGGCAGTGTTATAGTGGCCAAAGGCCAAGACTATGTATGAAATTTGGACGTCCTTGCCTACTTGGAATCGAAGATTGTGATTGCAACTTCTTTCATAATTTCAACTTGCTAAAGGTCTATTTTGCAAAATATTTACTGAGCTTCCATAGTTTATCTTGTTTAGGCTTTGGAAATGGGATTATCTATTTGGGACTTGAATGTTCCTTGTAACTGGCCACTAAAATACGTCTTCTTCTTAGTATGGGGCTTTTGGATTCTGTGTTCGTGAGACATTCCACTGTGGGTAGTTTCTGAATTAGTTGCTGAAAGCTTATGGGACTTGCTGGTCATCATGGCTTTGTTTGCACTTTAGCGTCGGTGGAACAAGTTCTCAAAAGAACAAAAGTTCTGCGGTAGATTATTTCATAGAATTTGTGGTCTACGGAGATTTGCTTTGCTTCTCATTTACAAAATCAATTAGCTGTTTTAAAAGATAACACGGTCTTTGTACTTATTCCAAGGGTTGTGTGGAATAGGCGATTCGCTGCATAGTATTAACCTCTCTTTACCAATGGGTTTCAAATGCAAGTATTATGATTCATAATTGATTAAAATGCAGCTTTTTTCATTTGGGAGATTTATCAGTTTCATTTGTTTTCCTTCAGGCTTTTTATCATTATTCTGGATATATAGTACATGTGAGCAGTCGGTTTAAATTTTCCAAGTTGATTTCATTGCAAACTAGTATTTAGTAATGGGAACGGAAGAGTCGAAAGACCCTTTCAAAGGGGTGGACTGGAAAGCCGTTGGCAGCGACATACAAAAGGATCCTGCTGCTAAACCAGTTGTAAAGAAGCGGTTGCCTAGAAAGATTAGGCAAATACCAGACTATTACTTCCTTCCTCGAAGATCTTTGCCCTCGACTATTGCTTTTTATGGGGCATGCATTGCTGGTGGAATCGGTGCTGGAATGTTAGTGGAGACCTGGATAAATAAGAAAGTCAAAGGTGAGAAAATATCTTATAACATTTTCTTAGGTATCACAGGAGCTTGGATTCAATGTCCCCATCCGCATTTGCACAGTTGATGACAGTAAAGTGTCCTCTAAGGAAATCATCAACTTATGCCACGCTGATCTTAAATTCTAGTCTAGGGTCTTGTTGTGTTTGATGTTTTCTTCCTTTGCCCTTACTACATACGTCTAAAAATGAACGAATGAGTTGGTTCACTCATATGTAGTTAATAATTTGAAACAAGAAAAAGACAGGTGAGCCAAAGCCGAAGATAAAGAATGACATGGATTTTCTATCGTGTCGGTGTATCACATTAAGGACGCCTAGCTAGAACAGAGTCTGGAGATTGACAAAACTTTGCAGTCGTTTTAGACTTCATAGAAACAGATGCCATTCTCTCTGGGAAGATGTTCTGCTTTCATGTGCTCGAAGGATATAACTGGCATTCTGTACACATTTACTCGTGATACTATACGTCATGTTCTTGTCTATCTGGCGAATTGATCTCTCCCTCCGCCAAATTCATGTGTTATGATGTAATATATGTTTTTACTTGACATTGCAGAGGATGGAGGCGTCGTATGGGAGTTCGACAAGTAGATGCGATATGTATTTCTTGATTGGAAACAAGTAGACAAGTAGATGCAATATGCTGTGGTCTTTTGGTGTTAGACAAGTAGATGCAATATGCTGTGGTCTTTTGGTGTTAGTTTCGACTCTTTGAACTGGCTGAGATCAACGGCTGGATCAAGCGACTATGCGATGATGAACAGCGGTAGCCGGTTGATCGACGAAAGCGAGGATTCAATGTTATGGGAGGTTGTAGATGGTGCAGAGAGCCCTACAGCAGAGCAAAACTCTCCTGCTCAGTCACCACATCATTTTGCTTGATTGAAATTCACACATCTGATTGTGGGAACGAGAACCCAAGTTTCATTATTACCTTACATTGTGTTTGTGCTTAACCATGAGCAGTGCCGCATAAGTAAAACTAATTAATCGCGATCCACGCTTGATAAACGACATGATAATGCTTGCGGTGTTCTTTAGTCATAGAATCTGGCTTCTCGATTCATGGGTCTACGTCAGCTTCTCTTTTCTTGGAATATAATCTAGTGCCCGTGGCAGCGTGCCGGGCTCTCTTTGCCTCTCCACCTCCGTCCCTCTTGTTGTCACGAGTTACATTTGCCGATCCAACATTTAGATTCGGAATTTCATAAATTTGAGATCGCACGCAGATGCAAGAAGTCGCACCTTACCGTGTATCATCCTAACGCAACGTCGGTTCTCCGAATTGCATTTTCTTCTCATCCTATTAAAAATTCTTTCCAAGAACTGAGAGAGAGAAATCTATGAGATCCTGAAAGTTTGAAATTTGCAAAGCGAGGACGGTCGATGGCGCGAAAATCCATCGAACCAGAAGGAGCCGCGTGGATGCCTAATATCATTGGCACCCATGCGATTTTCCCAAAATACCCCGCGCGAAGGAGCGAGTCTCTCCCCCCCCCCAACCCCCCCCCCCCAAAATGCATCCTCTCGGGTTACGGTCGGTGGCATCTCCCGTAAATACTCGGCGTAGCGAGACCTGCTTTGGTAAAAGCCGACGTAACCGCCAAAACAGAAAAACCCAAGCGCACGCTTTTCTTCTTCTTTGCTCCCGCTCGCGCGCGCTCACCGCCTCCTTCCAGGACGCCATTGTCGACTGCAACTCCATTCTCTCAAGGTAGAGAAGCTTCTTCTCCTTCTCCTTCTCCTTCTTCTACGTCTTCTTCTTCTTCGTGTTCTTCGCGTTTTCGTTCGCGGTCTGTGCGTGGAGATGTGGCTTCGCATGGCGCGCGTTTCACGTCTTCCGACCTCTCTCAGATGCATGAGCCGCTGGAAGAACTGCTCCCCAAGGGAAGCGCGCCTAGTCCGGCCGCTGCACGGAACTCTGGCGCCGGCGCCGACGGGAAATCGCCGCCGGAATCCGTACCGGTCGTCGATGTCGGAGCCGTCTCGGTCGGTCGAGGTCGGGCTCCGTCGGTCTCCCTTGAAAATGTGGATTCTCTTCCTCCACTCCCCGATCCGGCTGCGACCGTCGCAGCGCCGTCGGCCTCTTCGGAACGTCAAGATACTGAAGCCGCTCTGAAATCTTCGACGTCCGAGTTTGGAGAGATCGAGATGCACGAGCAGAATAGGGATTCTTCGGATTCTGTGAGAGACGGAGATGCGGAGGCGGCGGTGGAGAAACCATCGGGGTGGGTTGAAGAGGAAGAAGCGTCGCCGGAGAAACCGAGCAGGAAGGCCAGTTTCTGCCACGACATTTCAGACAACGTGAAGGCCACGATCAGGCCGTGCCCCAGCCTGAGCGCCAATCTCAACAATTACGATTCAGCGGAGGATGCCTCGGCACCCGCCAACGGCAGCCCGGTGATGGAGGAAGCGTGGGAGAGGCTCAACAAGTCGTACGTCTTCTACAAGGGGAAGCCCGTGGGAACTCTCGCCGCCATGGACCCAAACGCCGATGCGTTGAATTATAACCAGGTAATTCACGTGCAGTTGATTAGTCTTGTCCTGTTGTTCGTGCATATGTTACTACTGTTCAGACAGATTAGTGTGGCTTCAGTCATTCATCAGGGGAGAATATGCATGGATCTTTTGTTCCCTTGTTCTTTAATTGTTTCATCCGCTCATAAACAATCTCGTGCTTTCCCTTACTGTATGGTGTGACTTCCAACACGGACTTCTCTAGGTTTGAATTTAGTAATGGCCAAGTTACCAAAATAGGAATCAGTTGCTGAGCATTTGCATGTTGCGGAATCAACTTACGATGACCAACTCTTTCTTCGGCAGGATCAGGCTCTATTTCTCTTCATGCGACAGTTACATGGGCTATTGCTTGTTTCTAAAACTATCGAGTACAGAAAATCTACTCTTAGTCCTAACCTTCATCGCCTTCTTCCCCATCATATTTGCACGTGAGAATCTGTTACATCTAATCCTCATTTGGAAGAATGTGGTCTACCCTGCTTTGTCCAAGAAAACGATTGCTACCTTAGAATAGTAAACATGTGGGCAACATTAGTTCAATGAATATCACGACCAGTTACACAATTTCATCCAACTTTGTTACCGATCTTGGTATTTCCATGAGTATCGAGACTATTTCAAATAGTTACCTAAGTCATACTTTTACATCTTATGCAAAAGTGATTAGGCATAAATGTTCCCTGTGAAATTGTTGCTTTTGTTTGACCAAAAATAAAAAAAGATTTGTTGCTTTTGGCTTCTTGTTCGGTCTTCACTGCCATCAGCTGATTTTGTAATTGGCACTTCTGTGTGTGTCTCTGGAGCATGGTTTCTTGTTGATTTTTTTTTACTTTATGAACCTCAGGTCTTTGTTAGAGATTTTGTACCCAGTGGATTGGCTTGCCTGATGAAAAGAGATATGGAACCAGAAATTGTGAAGAACTTCCTGTTAAAGACCCTTCATCTCCAAGGGTGGGAAAAGAGAATTGATAACTTCACTCTTGGAGAAGGAGTTATGCCTGCAAGCTTCAAAGTCGGTTTCGACTTGCAAGACAGAAAGGAGAGGCTAGTAGCGGATTTTGGTGGTAGTGCGATAGGAAGAGTTGCACCTGTGGATTCAGGGTTCTGGTGGATCATACTGCTGAGGTCATATACAAAGTGCACGCATGATTATTCCCTTGCGGACCTGCCAGTTGTGCAGAAAGGAATGAAGCTGATACTTAACCTTTGCCTATCTGATGGATTCGACACTTTACCAACGCTTCTTTGCGCAGATGGCTGTAGCATGATTGACAGAAGAATGGTGAGTTTTCGCATCGTTCTTTTGCTTTAGTTTTTATCAAGCTAAAACTTGTCAAAATGGCTGTGCGCGTGCTTAGCATATCGAGGATTTTAGAATTCACTTTTAGTTGGTTTAGTTACTGTTGTAGTAACACTTGCATCCTACCTCTATGAGCATCATCTGATGCTGGCTGGAGAAGATCATTATGTGTCGATAAGGACCATAAGGTTTCTGTCCCCGCTAGCCTTCGGAGCACACCAATACCAATTTGTTTCAATGGCTGTAGTCATGCATAAGCAACGCAACCTAAATGATAAATTTTTTGGCGAGTCTATGTTTCATCTACTCTGTAAAGCAACATGTAATGGTGATATATATGAAACATTTAAAGTTCAATTTATCTCTAGTTTCTATTTAAAAGGAGCATCGGTTTCTTTTCCACCAAATGATTAAGTATCACACCAGGGTATAGCTCAATGAGAGGTGTGGGATGGCAAAAAGGTGTTCTTAGGTGGTAGATGACTTTAGATTGTCCTAAGTAGCTCCCAGCTCCTAGAACACCGCTCGTCTCAAGACACAAACAATGACTGGCACTAAAAACTTGTTGCTTTTTAAACAGGGTGTCTATGGTTATCCAATTGAAATCCAGGCTCTTTTCTATTTTGCACTGAGGTGTGCACAGCAGTTGCTGAAACCAGAGCGTGACGGCAAGGAACTCATTGAGCGGATTGACAAACGGATAATGGCTCTTAGTTTTCACTTCAGGAAATACTACTGGATGGATCATACACAGTTGAATATCATCTACCGTTACAAAACAGAGGAGTATTCCGATACTGCCGTCAATAAGTTCAACGTGATACCGGAATCAATTCCTGACTGGGTGTTTGATTTTATGCCACTTCGAGGAGGATATTTCATCGGAAATGTTAGCCCAGCTCGTATGGACTTCAGATGGTTCTTAGTTGGGAACTGCATTGCCATTTTGAGTTCTCTGGCTACACCAGCCCAAGCAACAGCAATCATGGAACTAATTGAGGACCGGTGGGAGGACTTGATAGGGGAGATGCCTTTGAAGATCACTTACCCTGCACTCGAGGGACATGAATGGAGGATAGTTACTGGATGTGATCCAAAGAACACAAGATGGAGCTACCATAATGGCGGATCTTGGCCCGGTAAAGTGCAGTTATTGTCAATGTCATCTTCTTCTGATTAAGAGCATTGAGAAATTACTTTACCGTCAGCAGGCCATTCTTCAATTCTTACGAATTTATACAATAAAATTGATCTCAAGACCCATTATGTGAGTTGTGTGCAATACGTATCCAATTGACACAGTTATTTTTCTTGTGCTGTGGTCATTTTTTCACAGTGCTACTATGGCTGCTGACTGCGGCTTGTATCAAGACTGGTAGGCCTCAGACTGCAAAGCGAGCGATTGAGTTGGTCGAGAAGCGCCTTGCAAAAGATGGTTGGCCCGAATATTACGACGGAAGGTCAGGGCGTTATATTGGGAAGCAAGCTAGGAAGTACCAGACATGGAGCATTTCCGGCTACCTGATTGCAAAGCTGATGATTGAGAATCCAGCCAACATATCCATCATTTCTTTTGAAGAAGACAAGAAGATATCCAAGCCAAGGCTCACTCGCTCCACCTCATTCTAAACCGATACGCTTGTTATTTTTTCCCCTTTTCAGAGTCAAGGGATGTACATGCTCCATACACAAATTAGGAAAATTTGTCCAATATATCCTTGCGTCGGGCTAAAGCCATCAAAGGCTTTAACCCTGTAAGGAAAATGATACTACACAGGTACATATAGAACACTAGAGAATGTGAATTTTCTCGAAGGTTTTTTCATTCGCAATACTTCGAAGTTTACTACAACATGAAAACTCGTAGTTTGACAGTCTTGGATTGTGATGACACGTTAACTATACAGAACGCCCCTTTTCTGCAAATGATAAGAAATTGATGTCCTTGATTTTGAAATTTGAGGACCCAATTCGTTATTACAAGATGGCATAACTTAATTCCACTAATTGTGAAACTAGTCATCTGATACTTCCTCGACACGCCTAGTCAAGCCAAGTTAGACATTCTGCATTGATTTTCCATCAAATCATTTAAGTTCTAAAGGAGATACATTCAGATAGCAGCTGACACAGAGATCATATGACAGAAAAATTTGCAGTTAGATGCATCTGGGTTCTCAATGACACTGTCCAGGCAGAACATAGTCTTGCAGACAACTTTCTTAATGTCCTCTCGTATGAGTAGCAATGTAGACTTTTTAGGTCCTTTAATAGAATGAGCACACTTCTTGATCAAGAATGGTGCACGTAGGTCTTCGGACATGAAAATAGTTACAATTCATCGAGCACAAATGCCTGTGACTCTCTTGTATTCTCTCGACCAAGGAAAATACCTTTACCCATGGCAACATGCCATATGGAGGATAGCACAATGTTCCTTGAGACATCAGAGCAACTGAACAATGGCCAATTACGCCTCAAATTTCTTCAGTCTTTAGGCATGCTAAAGTACGCATACATATCTGCTTGCTTCGCTGGATACACCAAAGAAAATTTCAGACCTGACTTATGAATCCCAGTTGAAAAGGCTTGCTTTTTAAGCATGCTGCTGAAAGATTGAGATATTATATGCATATTACACTAACTGGAAATGTTGGTATTAAAAAAAACCACTGGAAATGCTCTGAATTTGCCATTTTATCTGTGTAGATTGTGAAGATCAGATAATATCAGAAAATCATAGATTGATCCTCTCCAAAGCCCAACATTTCTCTTCAGAATCACTTTTTGTTGATGTAAAAGTCATCCTCTGGTTACTCTTCAAATTCAAATAATCAACCTAGATGAGAAAGGAAAGATATGAGGATGTTATCCTGGTTGAAGATTAGCACAAGAAAATAAGTTCAAGACAAGAAAAAAATCAACCTGATCTGGATCCATGATCAGCAGACAAAAAGAGTCGACAGGGCCGGTCGAAGAATCTAAAGAATTTTCATCCGTAAAATGTTCGCCTATGTAGGGGAGGCCAGGAGTAGGTCCCAAGTACTGTAGCCTGGATTTCACAGAACAAGCATGCCAAGCTTTCTCTCGTTGCTGCACTCATAATTAGAAGTGATAAATTCATCTAAGGTCATCTAAATAAGAACTGTGATGCAGTGACTGTTAGCCCCAACATTGGCATTTATTATACTGTAGCTCATTTCTTGATTAAGCCTGGTTTGCATATACTTTTCAATTGCCCATCTCCACATTGTGTCTTTATATGCAGTAGTATGAGCTTCGTTGTATCACGCTTGTTTGCAAAGAATATGCGATAGTGACATGATAAAATAAAACTTTGAATCATTTTGCAATTGTCTGATTGATCAGTTAACAGCTTCGGGAGTTCATTTAACGACCTTGTGGATGTACGCGGATTGTACACTCAGTTAAATCCAAACCCACAAGAACCCGAAAACAACTCTCAAAATCGTTTTCCAGTGCCGACACCAATCATACAAGAAATGCACATGAAGCTACAAGGAACGAAAATGAACATTCAAGAAGAAATATGCACCTGAAGCTTCAGGCTATCAGGATTTGAATGATCAATCATTTCGACTATTCCACTGATCCGAAATTGCTCCCAAGAGTCGGTAAAGTACCAACATATCTAGAGAGGAGAAATCAAGTACTAACATCAATAGACTATAAGAAGGTTACAAATCTTTAAAAAATCCCATCAATTATATCTACCCAAGTTAGCAGTGGCTTTGTAGCACTGATCAAAGTTCCCGAAGATATTGCGACAATCATATACCGTCAAATAATGATTACCTCAGCTAGCGGATTGTGCTTGAGCTCTTCAATCTGCAGAACACAAGCCGTAGTTAAGCAAAGAGTCCGCAGGAATCAAATTCAGAGATGAACAAGCACTTGCTAGATGAATTCAAAACTCGGCATTCCTACGTCTGCTCGAGCAGATTGTCCAGTCGTCAAAAAACATCAGAGCAAGAGCAATGGGTACCCATTGCGAAACCAATGAGGGATAATGCAACTTCAGCCAGCAACCCACTGCTCAGACAGCAGGAGGGTCGATCGAACTTGGGATTAGTGATGTCAAATGACCAGAATTAGCGAGGCAGCAAACAAGCGACGAGAGGAAAGAACCTTGCGACTGCGGGAATCGGTATGAATTTGGATCTTGTCAGTGCTCTCTTGAAACCCCCTGCAAGATCCATCAAGAAGGAGCACCCTCAAATGCCTACCCTATCAACTGGCAGAATACGAATAAATCGTGGGTATGGGGAGGAGCTAGAGACCGGAAGACGACGGTTCGGTTGGAGGGTCTTCCATTGGATCCCACAGTCGCCTGACACCAAGAAAACAGAGGAAGCCAAAGGTCAGGGGATAGCCTTAAAGATCGAAACTTTCTCACGGAGCGAGGGGCGCCAAAGGGGTACGAGCTGGAAGAAGGAGGAGTGCTTGAGGCTGGAGTTGGAGTGCAACGCGTCGAGAAGAAGCTGCTTCCATGGCGCCGTCGACGTTGGGCCGCCCATCATCTTTCTGATTCTCATTTCTCCCCACTCTGCTTTCGGGATAACTTGATGAGAAACTCCTCATCGGGTCATTGAACTGCTCACGGAACTGGACAATTCATGTGTTTCTTCTTGATTCGGAATGAAATTCTTGTTTCCCCATCATATTTTCTTGATTTCTAAGAAACTATAGATATGTTTATTTTTATTTTTTTTTTGGGAGGAAAAGCCTAAAAAGACTCAAAACTATGGCCATCGTGACACATTGACTTAAACTTTTTTATTTGTGACATCAAAAATTCCAAACATGTATTTATATGACACATTTACACTACACCGTTAAAAATATAAACTATGTTGATAATGGCGTCCACGTGGCTTAAGTGAACGAAAACGACGCTGTTTTGGCTGAAAAATTATCTGACTGAATCTCTTTTTTCGGTCAACTATCTGACTGAATCTTGATGTAGGGTAAATGTGTCACGCATGTGCACGTTTGGGGTTTTTGATGTTACAGAAAAAAAAAATAGAGTAAATGTGTCACAATGGACATAGTTAGAGTTTTTGATGATTTTACCCTCTCTTTTTTCAATAAAAAGATTTATACACGTCTAAGTGGCATGCAAAAAGTACTTCCACTATGGGTTTGATAGAAGCATGTAGAGTTTGGGCAAACGTCACTTCCATTGATGAAACAATTTACAATATATATACATAGGCTGCGTTTGGTTGTCCGGATTTCTAAACAGGATAGGACTGGATAGCATATGATAAGAAATCCTGGGATTTCTTCATATCATGTCCACTGTTTGGTGGACTACGGATTTAAAGTCGGATAGGATAATTTTTATTTTTATTTTTTGCTATTCACGGGTCCGGAGGAGTCAGTGAAGGAAAAAAAAGCCGAGAAATTTTTTTGGTTAAAGCGCACAAGATGTGGGGATGAAGATGACGGCGAGTGGAGTGTAGGGTTTCTGGAAAAATAGGCATTACAAATCCTATCCGGGTCTATCCCATCCCTCCCCACCGGATTTTTTTATCCGGGCTATATCCGGTCTATATCCGACCTTATCCTATCCTGGACCACCACCAAACACAGGATAGGATAAAACATATCCTATCCTGACTTTTATCCGGTCGACCAAATGCAGCCATACGGTTTAGGGCTAAAACAATACAATGACAATTATGCTCTTTAGTATAAACCTAATCTACCAAAAAAGCACCATTACAATTTCCTTACAAAATTATGTGTTTGATAGAAGCACCAGCTTCTTGTTAAACTCTTTCTACATCTATCAAAGTTTACTTGCAAGCATTCCACGAAATGTTTTAAATAAATTTAAAACAACTTATTCACTTCTTCTAAGTTGTTGTGTTGGCATTAACAATTGGTATTGGAACTTGGTTGCTTATTTTCTAAAGTCTTATATTTCAAAATATCAAGATCTTTTGAAATGGCTAACATCATTGGAGCCTCAGTTGTTGAATGTCGATCTATTTCAAGGCCTCTAATGTTTGATGGAATTAACTAGGGTTATTGGAAATGCAGAATGAAAATATTCATCCAAATGATGGATTACAAGTTATGGAACAATCCCTGCTGTTCAAGTAGCGTCGTCATAGGAGGAGAACAAGCTGCTTCGACCAATGACATACCACCACCACCAGCAATCCCTATAGAAGAACAGACGAGAGGAGTCACTCTAACGGGGCGTTTGGCTACTTACCAAATAATGATAATTTCTATTCTTTTGTTCCTAGAATCAGTTTATGAACAGAAATCTGTTTATTAAAATTTTTGTGCCCGGGCACAAATTTGCAAAAAATTATTCTCAGGATCAGTTTTGAAACATAATCAAGAAGCAAAAAAAAGTAGCTTCTTGATTTTGGAATAATTTTTCCATTTATGATTCTTCTTGGTTTTCTTCTTCCTTTTTTATTTGTTCTTCATCTTCTTTCCGGCCCGCCGCCGGCCACCGACTGCCGACGATAGGCCACCGGCGACCGGCCAATGCCAGCGAGGGCAGCCCTCGCTGCCCTCGACGACGGCAAGGTCGGCCTCGCCAGCCCCCGGCGAGGTCGGCCTCGCCTTGGCCGGGCGAGGCTCGACCTCGCCGAGGGTGGCGACGGCGAGGTTGGCCTCGCCAGATCTGGGCGAGGTTGAGCCTCGCCCGGCCATGGCGACGGCGAGGTTGGCCTCGCCATGATCTGGGCGAGGTCGAGCCTCGCCCAACCAATGCGAAGCCGACCTCGCCGGCGACTGGCCATGGCCAAGGAAAAAAGAAAGAAAGAAATATTAAAAAAATTCAAAATATTATTAAAATGTTATTAATAAAAAGAAATTTTGTGTAGTTACCAAACGCATTTCTGTTCTTTTTCTATTTTAAGAATAGAAATTTTGGGCAGTTGCCAAACGCCTTCAAATACTTAGAAATTGTTCCCAGACACAGAATAAAAAAGAATCATTTATGAGCAAAATCAGTTTTCGGACACAGAATCGTTGCCATGCGCACCCTAAATGCTAAGATGAAGGAGGAGAACTAGCTGAACCTACCAATAACGAACCTCCACTAGTAGCAATCCTTTAAAAAGAACAGACGAGAAGACTTACTTTACTTTAAATGCTACGCTCTTTATATTCCATATTGTGCTCTCTCATCATCTACTTTCTTCTTGTAGTACAAGGAATGAAATATGGGATAGCCTTGAAGTCACTTTTGGAGGGATGATAGGGTGAGACCCAAATGAACATTATCTTTTTGTTTTTTGGTCGAAGAAATGAACATTATCTTAGGAAGTGGGAAAATTACCAAAAATGTCGTAAACTCATTGCGCTTGTACCAATGCAATCATAAACATTTTAATTTGCCCAATATAATCATAAACATTTTAACAATTTATCAATTTTGGCCGAAAATTAATGACGTGGACGTTGGTCGTTCTATGTGGCACGATCGACCGTGACATGAAAATTTTTTGTCTTTAAATTTTAATTTTTTGCCTTTTCCCTTTTTTTTTAATTGTTAAGGGCTAGCAGGGAGTCGCTAGTCACAAGCAAAGGCCCGGCAACCCCCGCCGGCCACTGAACGAGGGCTTCGAAGCCCTCGCCAGCAGCTGATGAGGGTCGCGGCCCTTGTCCAACTCTAAGCAAGGGTCGCGAGCCCGCGTTGGCCATTAGGAGAGGATCGCAGCCCTTTTGCAACTGTGAACGAGGGCCGTGAGTCTTTGCCCAATGGCTGGCGCGACTCTTGTCTACAGCCTGCAAGGGCTTTTAGGCCCTCGCCCAATGGCTGGTGGGGGTCGCCGGGCCTCGGCCGATAGCCCCCACCGGTCCTTAATAATAAAAAAATTTCCACGTCAGCATAGGCCATACCACGTAGGATGGATGGTATCTATATCATCAAATTCTAATCAAAATTAGCAAATTGTTAAAAGGTTTATGATTAAATTAATCAAATTGAAAATTTTAAGATTATATCGATGCAAGTACAGAAGGTTTATGATTTTTTTTGGAATTTTCCTTTTTGTAAGCTATAAGATATTCAAGATGAAGGAAGATGAAAGGACATTCAAACGTACATGAAGTACACCAACATAATCAATAGTCTTGCAAGTCGAAGCAAGACATCCGCAATTGCAGAGAATGTTAATAAATTGATACAAGCTCCTGCAAAGGAGTGGAGTCATGTCAAGACTTTAATTCGTGCAATCTTAAGGATTCAGCCTCTATTAATGTATGAGCTGACTGGTACTCTACTGGCCATTGAGGTTGAAATGGAAAATGATAAGCACAACATATAAAGCAAAAAATTAATTGCCATTAAAGCTCATACTTTTGATCTAAAAAATTCACTCTCAAACGGTCAATTATTTAGGAAAACGGTCAATGAAGGCAGCAGACCAACCAGGAGATTTCAGGAAAACAGAGATGATGTTGAAGGCAAAAAAAAATTACCTGCTTTGAATGGAAAAAGCCAGGTAAAATCAAGGCCGATTGTACACAATTTAAGGAAAAAAAAGGGAAAATTTGAAAAGAAGAAGAAAGCACCAAAGGAGCGACTTGGAGCGATACTCAATATAAATCAAGCCACGAAGCCAAAACAGAGCAAGCGCATCTTTGTTTGATGATCAACTGCAAGCCGAAGAAGACGAGGTAGATGCCTCTGAATTTTCTTATGATGAGATGCATACATTGTTAAAAGATGTTTTTTGATGAGTACATAACAGTTTGTGAAGTAAAATCCCGAGCTAAAGAAAGAGGTTTCTGAACTAAAGAAAAGAGAAGCATTGTATACCAAGATGAGCTTGAGTCTTGCATTTGTCAGAGATGTTGGGATTTTGGAACCAAAATCCCATAGAATTGAATGAGAAGTGTGTGGGTGAAAGTGTCCCACATAGGGTAGAAGAGAGATGGGAGATGGGTTCAAATAGTTGAGCCTCACAAATGGGTTTGGGCCCCAAGGGGTACCCCACTTTTGTGGAAGAGAGAGGACCTACGTCAAGCTAGGTCGGTCCACCTCCCGCGCGCCGCCGCCGCCGTCCGGCTCGGTTCGGTTCTCTATCGGTTTTTTATTTTTTTCGAACAGACACGTTGTTTAGAATTTATTTATTTATTTATTTATTTTTGGACAAATAAACATGTATGTTCGTGAGGTTCGGTTCGCCCGAACAGAAAACCAAAGCCCTTCTCGCGACTGTTCATGAACCGAACCGGTTCAAGCGAACCTTCGCTACTATTCACGAAAACTCGCGACTCTTCATTTTTCGTCACTTGAATAAGACCGAACAGTTTAGTTCGGAATATATATATCACTTCGTGGCATTCATTTTTCCCGGGACGCACTCTACGCATATTCACTTCATCATTGTCATTTGGTGCGATTGTTACGCAAAATTGCGTTCGTTGGAGTCCTCCGAATACGTACCGCCGGAGGAACGAGATCCGTTCTATCCTCGGGAGACGATTGTCCAATATCCTCGGGTGCGATTGAGGGGCCAAATTCGTCTTAAGGACACGACGTTAATTCGTTGGGCTCGGATCAACATTCCGCTTATTTGGTTGTACTTGCTTTCGGGTTAGTTTTTTCCTAACGTTTGATTTTAATTTCGATATACGAACTTAGCCGACTACAATCTTAAGACGA